AAAAGAAATCAAAGGGATACAAATTAGGAAGGAGGAAGTCAAACTATTCCTGTTTGCAGATGGCATGATTCTATATATAGGGGACCCAAAACACTCCACCAAGAGACTGTTGGAGCTCATAGGAGAGTTTGGTAAAATAGCAAGGTATAAAGTCAATACACAAAAACTACAGCCTTTATATACACAGATAATGCCAAGAAAGAGATGAACTTCTAAGATCAGTCCCATTCACAATAGCTACCCCAAAAAGGCAAATACCTTGGAATAAATTTAATCAAGGATGTCAAAGATCTCTATGATGAAAATTACAAACATTAAAGAATGAAATAGAACAAGATACAAAAAAAGTGGAAAAATCTTCCATGTTCATGCATTGGAAGAATCAGTATCAAAATCAAAATGTCCATTCTTCCAAAAGCAATCTACAAATTCAATGCAATACTAATCAAAATGCCAAAGACATTCTTCTAAGATCTAGAAAAAATGATGCTGAAATTCATATGGAAACACAGAAGACCTTGAAAAACTAAAGCAAAGACAAAGCTGGAGGTATCGCAATACCAAATCAAGACATACTACAACACAGTTGTAATCAAAACAGCCTGGTACCATTATAAAGCCAGATGGATAGACCAGTGGAACAGAATAGAAATGCTAGAAATCAATCTAAGCATCTACAAACAACTTATATTTGACCAAGGAGTTAAAACTAATCCCGGGAGCAATGAGTCTCTTTAAATGGTGCAGAAATATGCAGAAATATGAAGCTGGACTCCTTCCTTACACTTTACACTACAATCTATTCTATATTAATTAAAGATCTAAATCTACAACCCAACACTGTCAAATTATTAGAGAACATTGGGGAAACCCTGCAAGACATTGGTGCAGGCAAAGAGTTATTGGAAAATACCCCAGATACGCAGGCAGTAAAGGAAAAATTAACAAATGGGATTATATCACATTGAGAACTTTCTGTACTGCAAAAGAAACACTCAGGCAATTGAAGAGGCAATTGACAGAATGGGAGAAATTATTTGCAAACTATGCAATTGATAAAAGATTAATAACCAGACTATACAAAGAGATCAAGAAACTCTACAGCAACAAAACAAACAACCCAATTAAGAGATGGTCCAAGATCTTAAACAGGCATTTTTCAAAAGAGGAAATCCAAATGACCAACAGACACATGAAAAATGTTCAGGATCATTAGCTGTAAGGGAAATGCAAATCAAAACCACTATGAAGTTTCACCTCACCCCAGTTAGAATGGCTTACCTACAGAAATCAACTAACAGCAAATGCTGGGGAGGATGTTGCACAAAAGGCACACTAATCCACTGTTGGTGAGAATGCAAACTGGTAAAACTACTATGGTAGACAGTTTGGAGATTGCTCAGAAACCTGAATATAGCCCTACCATATGACCCAGCCATCCCACACCTGGGAATTTACAATGGGAAATGAAATCAATAAATAAAAGAGTTATCTGTACCCGCATGTTTACTATAGCTCAACTCACAATAGCTAAGACATGGAATCAACCTAAGTGCCCATCAACCAAAGACCGGATAAAGAAATTATGAGATATTTACACTATGGAATACTACATATAGCAGTTTAAAAAAATGAAATCTAGTCATTTGCAACAAATTGGATGAATCTGGAAATCGTCATACTTAGTGAAATAAGCCAGTACCAAAGGGACAAATACCATATGTTCTCCCTGCTCTGTGAGAACTAACAGGGTACCTAAAATGTAATCTGTAGAAATGAAATTGACACTTTGGGAAGGGATGACTTGAGCGGGCCTTGTTGTGACTTTCGAGGAACAGTTATGTGGGTTTTTTTTTTCCTCTTCATACTCTTTGTTGAACTCTTAACATAGAGTTAATCATATGTGTATAAAGTCAATTGAGGACAAATCTCATTAAAAAATAAGAGTGGGAGGATGAAGTTTCTAACTGTAATGCTGTATAGTTCTGCATACATTCCCACAGACTTCTCAGGGTACAGTTTAAAAACTTGCCATGGATCCCCAAATTCCATTAAGCTGGGTGATAAAAATGCCATCTTAACTGTTAAAGTGATCATATTAAGTGTTAAAGTGAATATATAGATAGGATTCAGTGTTAAAATGGTCATATAAATAGGATCAAGTATCTGGTAATAATAATAGAATTAAAAAGGAGAGAATATTTCAACATGGGAACTAGGCCACACAGCAGACTCACAGGATGACAATTGCTTTAAGTAGCACTCTGACCTCAGAATCAGCCCTTAAGGCATCCTGGTCTTGCTGAAAAGCCCAGGAGAGCATATCAAGCATGGAAAGCCAAGATGTTGTAGCAAAACATGTTCTAAATGAGGGATCTCTGTGAATGAGACCCCAGTGGAAAGAAGAGGCCATCAAAGAAGGATGTACTTTTCTCTGAAGGGAGGAGATACTTCTACTTTGCTTATGGCCTTGTCTAAATACTGACAGATATTATGGATCGAAAAGGCTTCCTTGGCCTAGGCAGCTCATGTCAAGAGCCTCAGGTGGTCACTGACGTCATACATAAGAGTATTAATGGTTAAAGTAACAACAGAAGTCACGATGCAATAGCTTCCCATGCAGGAAATGAATGTCCTCAATGAGTCCTCAATGAGCTGTATCTGTCCTCAGTGAGTTGTATTATGAGAGTTAACTTTGAACTTGTTCTCAAACAGTTGTGTGTGTGTGTCTGTGTGTGTGCACGTGCAAATTATTGAAATCTTTACTTAGTATAGAGTTGGTCTTCTGTGTACAAAGTTAATTGAGAATGAATCTTAATGGTGAATGGGACTGGGAAGGAGAGAGGGAGGAAGAAGAGGGGCGGGAGTGTGGGTGGGAGGGTGGGTATGGTGGGAAGATTAAGTATATTCCTAAAGTTATACCTATGAAATTTGTATTCATTAAATAAAAGGTTTCTTTGGAGAAAAATAAAAATGAAGTGATATAGTTAGTCTAGAAAATGATTATTCATTATTGTTTCTTCGTTTTGTAATTTGAGAGACAGAGAACTACCATTTGCCCATTTGCTCGTCAGATGGCCTCAACAGTCTCCTGCCAGGCCAAGCACCAAATCTGGGAACTGGAAATTCAATTTGGGTTTCCTACATGGGTGACAACAACCTGGTCACTTGAGCCATCACCACTGCTTCTTAAGGTCTACATTAATGGGAAATTCAAACCAGATGCAGCTGTATGTGAACCCCAGGCACTCTAATATGGGATATGGACACCTTAACTGGCATCTTCATCACTAGGCCAAATGCCTGTGCCTGATTATTTTTTTAAAGATTTATTTATTTATTTGAAATGCAGAGTTACAGAAAGGCAGAGAGAGAGAGAAAGAGAAGAGTCTTCCATTTGCTCATTTACCCCCCAAAAGGTGACAATGCCTGGAGCTGCTCCAATCCAGAGCCAGGAGCTTCATCCGGGTTTCCCATGCCAGTGTAGGGGCCCAAGAACTTGGGCCATCCTCTACTGTTTTCCAAGGCCATAGCAGAGAGCTGGATTGGAAGTGGAGCAAGGAATTGAACCAGTGCCCATGTGGAATGTTGGCACTGCAGTTGGTGGCTTTACCCACTACACCACAGCACCAGCCCCCCTGGTTATTTTTATATTGCTGTGGAGTTAAAGTACAAAATAAAATTTTCATAAACAGGACATAAAATTCCTTGAAAATACATCATTCTTGAATCTGAATGTAAGAAACACTGAACTGAGGTGTTCATTTCGTGTAGCAGTTAAGACATTGTTTAGGACACACACATCTCTCATCAGAGCGTTTGGGTTTGAGTCTCAGATCTACTCTAATCCAATTTCCTGCAGATGCACGTCTGGGAAGTTGCAGGTGATGGCTCAAGTAGTTGGGTCCCTGCCACTCTAGTGGGATACCTGAATTGCGTTCTCAGGCTCCTGGCTTTGGCCTGAGTCAGCCAGTGGTGGGCATTTGGGGAATCAATCAGGGATAAGAGATTGCTCTTATATCTGTCCCTCTTTCTTTGTGCCTTTCAAATAAATAAAAATACATTTTTTTTAGGAAGGTTAACAAAAACCCCACTGAGCTGCCTTCTGTTTGCTGATTTACTACCCAGTTGCCTACAAAAGCCAAGGCTGGGCCATTCTGAAGCTGGGAACACGAAACTCAATCCATGTCTCACACATGGGTGGCAACAACTTGAGCTGTCACCTTCTGCCTTCCAAAGCACTCATAGCAGGAAGCTGTAATCTGAGATAGAGCCTGGATTCAAACATAGGTGCTCCAATATGAGATATGAGAATCCCAGGTGCACCCTAGCTACTTGATGAACCACTCATCCTGGATGTTTCTTTTAATGTTGTTTATTTGAGTAGCAGAGAGAGACAAATTGTTGTGTTATGCCCTCAAATCTTAGGGTGATAGTTACCCCCGTCTTCTTAATGAAAGAGGCGTTTAGGCAGCAACCTAAATGACCTTGTATACAGAAATAAATGAAGTGTGGCATATTCATATGGTAGTACTTAAAAGGGACAAATAAGATCTGCAAGTATAAATAAAATTTAAAAGATCTATAAGTATTAACATCTATATATGTTAGTATATAGTAATGGCTATATAGATACATACAAAAGGAGAAAAAAATAGACTCTCAAAAAGGCTGCATACCAGATTTCTGGTAGGTGTGTGGGAAGATGGGTGTGGGATTGAGACTTGAGATAACGATAAAGACAATTTTAGTGTTAACTATGTTTTACCTCTCTTTAAAGACCAAAATCAAATAATACCAATTTTTATTTGTGCTAAATTTAGATATAAGCCTATGGATGTTTGTTTTATTTGTACTTTAAAATATCTTTTATTAAATTTAGGAAGAAAAACCTTGAACTATAGCTGTACATTAGGCTAAAGTTTTTATTTTAATTCCTCTCAACACTAATATGCTAAAATACAGAGCAACAAATGATGTTATTTGCACTATAATTTCAGTGATGCCAATTGGTGGAGAGGAGAAAATCACAGAGGAATAGGACTCTTTCCATCTAATTTTGTCACATCTAATTTAAACATAGAATCTGAGGCAGGTAAGTGAAATCTTAAAGAAGGTTAAATCTGTTAGTTTTTTTTCACTTGAATTTTATGGTTGTTTTGAATATTAAGTCAATTGACATTTAACTTTTATGTTAAAGAACTTAATGGGATTAATTGATCTCATGTCAGTCCCAGAACCATTTTCTTATATTTTAAATCCTTTGAGAGTTGAGTCAGCAGATTAAACTGCTTCCTGAAATGCTGGCATCCCGTAACTGAGTGCCCATTGGGGTCCCACCTGTTCTACTAATGTGCCTGGAAAGGCAACAGCGGATGTCCCAATTACTTCAGCCCCTGCTACCCATGTGGGAGACCCAGATGGAGTTCCTGGCTCCTGGCTTTGATTTGGCCCAGCTCTAGCTGTTGCTGCCATTTAGGGAGTGAACCAGTGGGTGGAAGATCTCATTCTCTCTGTTTCTTCCTTTCTCTGTGTCTCTCTACCTTTCAAATAAATAAAATAAAACTGGGGCCAAAGTTGTGGCCTAGCCAGTAAAGCCTCTGCCTGCAATGCTGACATCCCTTATGGATGCTGGTTCCTGTCCTGGCTGCTCCACTTCAATCCAGCTCATTGTTAATGGCCTGAGAAAAGCAATAGAAGATGGCCCAAGTACTTGGGCCCCTGCCACTCATGTGGGAGACCTATAGATGAAGCTCCTGGCTTCAGCCTGATCCGGTGTTGTTGATTGTAGCTATCTGGGGAATTACCCAACGATGGAAGATCCTTCTACCTCTCTCTCTCTGAAAATAAATGAATAAATTATTTTAGGAAAACCTAAGAAAAAGTTCTTTGGTAGTTAATATACATAGTTAATTATTGGGTGTGAAACTATCCGTGACCATGTCAATGTGTAAATCAACAAATATAGGAGCCAGTTTGTCCTGTATGAAGAATGTTTTTATCCATCACTGAACTACAGTTATACCAGGAAGTGCCAAGTGTGATTATGGGGATTAGGAGTAATTCTGATTTTTAGTTTCTTCACCTTGATCTTGATCCTAGAGAACTTTAGACATAATAAAGTAATATAATCGAGACTGGTTTCTGGTTCAGTTCTTCTGAACTCAGTTCTGCAGCCTCAGATAGTTCCCTTCAGCTACTGTCACCCCTGCTGAGAAAGCAGGCAGGGAACTGAGGATCTGAGTGAAAAGGACTATTTTGCAGTAAAACCAGTGTTAATGCTTATCCAAAGTTAATGGCATTCACTAATGGCATTATGCTAAGTCCTTTGCAGTGTTTCATTTAATTCTCACAATTCTATGAGATAGGTATTTTTGTTACCTTGTTTTATAAACAAGGAAACTGAGGCTGAAGAATTAGGTATCTAATAAGTGACAGCCAGAATTCTTAAGTCAGACAAGCTGACATTAGAATGTACTTAGAAGTACTCACTGAGATATCTGTCAGTGCTAATCCATATCAGTTCTAGAGAAAGACCTTAAAATGAAAGCTCAATACATCATATGTAATACTGTCTTTCCATGCTTAGAGAAAAATTATATTGTGTGAGGGGAATACTCATTTCAATGTTGAGCCCTTTTGCCACTGTTTTTACTTTTAATTTTTTTTAGTCTGATTCTTAGTATTTAGGAATATTGAAGACCACTTCCCCCTCTTTTTAAAGATTGATTGATTGATTGATTTGGAAAGCAGAGTTAGAGATCTCCCATCTACTGATTCTCTCCCTGAATGGCCACGGTATCCAAGGTTGGGCCAGGCTAAAACCAGCAATTCCATCTGAGTCTCCCATGTGAATGACAGGACTCTAAGCACTCGGGCCATCTTCTGCTCTCCCAGGCACCTTAGTAGGGAGCTCAATTGGAAGTAGAACATCCAGGACTTAAACTGGCACCCATATGGGATGCTGGCATGATTCTGTGCTTTCATTGTATTCTTGTGTTATGCTGAACCCTATTCTTTATGATATAATTGAAAGTTAAACATCTATTTGAAATAAAGTGACTAACTGTTGGTACTTAAAAATTCTTCATTTTACATAGATTTTTATTATAATTTGACTTTTATCTTAGTTTACTTTATTGAAATATAGTACATTCTAGAACTACTCCAGGGTACATTTAGTTTTCTTGGTATGTATATTTGTAAATTATTATTCAACTTTTTCTTTATGGAAAACTTTCTGATTTTGTATTGCCTTAACTACTATCAAGGTTAGGTTAAAATCAGACCTATTATTTTTGCTCATATAGGGAATTCTGTTTATTTTCATTTTTATTTACTTTTATTTCTTTGAAAGAGAATGAAGGAAACAAACAAGCAAAAATATTTCATTCACTGGTTCACCCTCTGAATGTTCACAATAGCCTGGAATTCAGTCCAGGTTTCCCACATGGGTGACAGGGATCCAGTTACTTGATCCATCACCTGCAGCCTCCCAGGATGTGTGTTAACAGGAAGCTGGAATAGGAAATGGACATGGTACTTGAACCCAGGCATCTCCAAAATGGGATGCTGGTGTTGCAGGTGGCACCTGAACTGCAGTGCCAAGTGCCTGTCTCTACAGTCAGAAACTCATGGATCCAGCTCTGAAAATAGTAAATGCCAATCTACCCTCTTGTATATTTATTCACACTCAATTGGTAACACTCAACTTCAGGTAGTGACAGCTCCCAATATTGTCAGGTTGTCCTGCTAGAATGTAAGCTTCATGAAGGCAGGGCTTCTTGTCTGTTGTTTTCACTAGTGTATGTATAAATGCCTAGAATGATACCTAGAAGATTGTACTAAATACTACTAAATTGCTACATAAATACTTTTGACATGAATGAATGAACATATGTAATAACATAATACTGTTGATGATATATGACTAATTAAAGTGTTTTTATTTTTTTCTAATGGATAATCATAGACCACTTATAATTTAATGACCGAATTATAAAAGTAAATGCTGAGGAACTTAAAGTTTACTTTGCTTCCATAGCAGCTGTGGACAAATTGAATGTAATTGATGATGATGTGGAGGAAATTAAGAAATCAGAGCCTGAGCCTGTTTATATAGATGAGGTAGAGTCCTTCTTTTTTTTAATAGTTAAATTATCAAGAGTTAAAATATATTATCCTTGATAATGCTTGGAAAGAATAATTTTATATTCACCAAAGTTAAAACTCTTTTGACTTTGAAGTGTCTTCTGTTACATTTTTAGGATAAGATGGATAGAGCACTGCGGGTACTCCAGAGTATAGATCCGACAGACTCAAGACCTGACTCCCAAGACCTCTTGGACTTAGAAGGTACATAGTGAATATTAGAGATTACTTGAACTTCTTATTTTTATTTTTTTGCCTGGTGCTTACTTCTAGAGGTTAAAAATCCTTGGTGAAGAATAGAACAGTACAGTGGAATAGCAAAACCATCATTTGGAAGATGTCATAATTGCATGTCATTTTCAACAAGGAAGTCTTGGGGCCAGAGTTGCGGCGTAGCAGGTTAAGCAACTGCTTTGTGTGATGCCTGCATCCCCTGTGAGTGCTGGTTCGAGACCTGGCTGTTCTATTTCCCATTCAGCTCCCTGTTGATGCTCCTAGGAAAGCAGCTTAAAATGGCCCAAGTGATTGGACCCCTGCACCCACATGGGAGACCCAGAAGATGCTCTGGGTTCCTAGCTTCGGCCCCTCCCTCCCTGGGTGTGTGGCCATTTGGAGAGTGAGCCAGTGGATGGAAGATCTCTCTCTCTCTCTTTCTGTCTCTCCTCCTCTCTCTCTAACACTGCCTTTCTTCCTTCTAATTTTTTTTTAGATGTGTTTATTTATTTGAAAGAGTTACACAGAGAGAGAAGGAAAGGCAGAGAGAGAGAGAGGGCGGGCTTCATCCGCTGGTCCACGCCTCAGTTGGCAGCAATGGCTGGAACTGTGCAGATCTGAAGCCAGGAGCCAAGAGCTTCTTCCAGGTCTCCCATGCGGGTACAGGAGCCCAAGGCCTTGGGCCATCTTCTGTGGCTTTCCCAGGCCATAGCACAGAGCTGGATTGGAAGTAGAGCAGCTGGGACTGGAACCAGCGCCCATATGGGATGCTGCCACTTCAGGCTGTGGTTTTACCCACTACACCACAGCACCGGCCCCAACACTGCCTTTCAAGTAAATGAAAAATAAATCTTAGGGGGCTGGCACTCCAGTTGAGACCAGCTGCTCCACTTCTGATCTAGCTCCCTAATAATGCACCCTGGAAAGCAGGGGAAGATGGCCCAAGTACTTATCCCCTGCACCCATGTGGAGGACCTGGAAGAAGCTTGGGGTTCCTGGCTTCAGACCAGCCCAGCTTCAGCTGTTGTGGCCATTTTGGGGAGTGAACCAGCAGATGGAAGATTCCCGCTGTCCCTCCTTCTCTGTCTCTCTAACTCCGCCTTTCAAATAAATAAATATTTTTTTAAAAATGAATTATTTGTATTTCTGTAAGCCCACTAGGAAAACTGGATGAAGAGATTTGAGGTCCAAAAAGGGGCAGTATTAGAAATAACAGCATGCAAAGTTAATTGGATTGAAATTTTAAAGATCGAAATTATGTGGCGGGGGCTATGGTGAAGCCAGTTGGAGTCCTGGCTGCTCCACTTCCAATCCAGTTCCCTGCTAATGCATCTCAAAAAGCAGTGGAAGATGGCCTAAGTCCTTGGGCCCCTGCATCCACATGGGAGACCTGGAATAAGTTCCTAGTTCCTGGCTTTGGATATGCTCATCTCTAGCTGTTAACAGCCATTGGGGAGTGAACCAACAGATGGAAGATTCTCTCTAACTCTGCCTTTCAAATAAATAAATCTTAAAAAAAAAAAAAAAGCCCAAATTATATGTGACCAAGGTTAACTTTGTTATGTAGCTGTTTGATACATGCTGATGTGTCTTGGAAATTTGGAGCAATTAAATGTTTTTGTGCTTTTTAAAAAATTTCCTTGTGATAAAAATGTGGTAAATGGATAAATCTTAGATCTTTATAAAAGATTCTGGTTCCAGATGTAGCATTTTATGCTTCTTATTATATCTCTGTTTATATATGGAAATACATAAAATATGTAATTTTTAAATATCCTAAATGAAAAATGTTTTTATCTAATCTGTACTTGGTCACATGTGTCAACTTTATTTAGCTAATAATAGTTTCATGGATACTTTTAAGACTTGGAGATAACTCTTGGCTGGTGCCATGGCTCACTTGGCTAATCCTCCACCTGCGGCGCCAACACCCCAGGTTCTAGTCCCGGTTGGGGCGCCAGATTCTGTCCCGGTTGCTCCTCTTCCAGTCCAGCTCTCTGCTATGGCCCGGGAAGGCAGTGGAGGATGGCCCAAGTCCTTGGGCCCTGCACCCACATGGGAGACCAAGAGGAAGCACCTGGCTCCTGGCTTCAGATCGCCACAGCGTGCCAGCCGTAGTGGCCATTTGGGGGATGAACCAACGGAAAGGAAGACCTTTACCTTTCTCTCTCTCTCTCACTGTCTAAGTCTGCCTGTCAAAAAAAAAAAAAGACTTGGGGATAACTCTGAATGTTTAAGTCTGTAAACTTAATATAATTCCAAGAAAATAAAGAGATTTGTATTTTAATTTTGATCTTGCCTTTGGTCCTATAATAGTAATATTTGGTTAGCAATGGTTCTGTATAATTCTTTCTGTAGGATGAACTTAATTATTTGTGTATTGTACATGGTGCTGCATATTAGTGCTCTTTTAAAAATTGTTGAGATTGGCTTAAACTGGATTAAGTTTCCAGGTTTGTAAGTCTTTTTGTATTCACAGATACCTGCCAGCAGATGGGTCCAATGATAGATGAAAAACTTGAAGAAATTGATAGGTGAGTTTTTTTAATGTAAAGAATAAAAAGTCTGGATTTCATAGCTTTACTTGTTTTGGAGAAACTTCAAACTAATGGATTTTTTTCTGGAACTGTACACTGTGTTGAAATTGTTTTTCAGTTTCACAGACTCTTGGGAACTCATAGCACAACTCTGCTTTAATTTTGCCTGTGTGACACAATAGTGTACTTAAAAATATGAACTCTTGCTCTTATGTGCCAGTCTTTTTCTTACTTAAGTTGGAAATGAGGGGATAATGACTAATGAGGAATAAAATGAATAGAGAACAAAATGAAAACTGGAATCTTAGATAAGCATTGACTTATTATGCCTTGAGAAGTAGCATTTATAAAAATTTCCTTGAAATTCCCCTAATTTGTGAAGCTAAATCTTGTGCAACACAATTTCTCTTCTCTTGTATTTCCTTGTATTTCTGTGTTTCAGTTGCTTTTAATTTCATCCTACTTAGTTTTACTATTCTTTAGAGCTAACAGCAGCACTGAAAGATAGAAGACTATCAGAGTTCTGAGCTTTTAACTTAGTTCTGCCCTTTCTCATATTCCTCTGAGCTATCTGGAGTGAGAGGGAAAAGCCCTAGTGAATGGAATACAAGAGATAAGGCCTTAATATTCTATTATCACCCCTTTCTATCTTTATTTAGTGAACCACTACGTAAGCAGCACAAGAAAGGGATTAGAGAGGACCAAGGTGGTCAAGAGAACAGGAAGTACTCTACCTTTTTTCTTGCTGTGCCAGAAACGTGCTGTAGCAACAAGACTCTCTAGCCACTGAAATTTTGTAATTTTTATTGCACAAGACAATTTTTATAAATTACTTGTGTTTTGTACGGAAATGAAAAATCTCTGTGGCAATTAATGAAGTGATGGTGGTAGTTTCATCAATTTTTCTAACAGGGATAGGGAATGTCTGGCCCACTGGCTGTATAGGCCTGTGAAATCATTTGATGTGGCCCTTCCAAGGCAACCACAGCAGGACTCAAAATCCAGTAAATCTGTATCAGGCTAAGTTCCAAGTTGATAATTTTGTATGGCCTGTGAATGATGTTATAAATATCCAAATGGCCCTTAGCAGAAAAATGGTTCCTGTCGCTCCCCCTCTTCATGGAGGAACGACACAGGACCTTGCGCTGTTCTTTCGTCTGCTCGGCCCTCCCCGGGTTTGCTGCTGGTTCTTCCCGGGTTGGCTACCGACCCTTCCACCTCCGTGGAAGGGCGGTTCCCCCTGCCACTTTCCCCACTTCCGCGGGGGAGCGGCACTCCGCCGGCTGGCTCTCTCGGGGGCTGCACAGATGTTCCTCTTAGATGTTCCCAGATGCATGTTGTCTCTCTCCTCCTTTATAGTCCTCTTCCACCAATCCCAACTCTGCTACCCACACGCCGAGTACGCTGCTCTCCTCCAATCAGGAGCAGGTCCTACAGTTTATTGGTTGAACTGGAGGCAGCTGCGTAGAAGCTGTTTCTCCCTTCTCAGCGCCATATTGTGGGAGAGCAGATGCATAGAATAAGTCTTAATTCCAGTAACTTAGTCTAGTCCGAGTTGCTCCCCACAGTTCCCTACCCCTGTTTTGGAGAAAGCATTAAATATCTACTTAGAAATCTGCTACTTTGTTTCAATGCAGGGATAATAGTTGATGAATAATCAAAACATTTTTAAAAAATGGTCAGCATTTCCATAGGTATGGCTGGGAGGATAATAATTGGCCACAACGGCTGGAGCTGTGCTGATCCGAAGCCAGGAGCTTCTTCTGGGTCTCCCACACGGATTCAGGGTACCAAGGACTTGGGCCATCTTCTATTGCTTCCAGGCCATAGCAGAGAGCTGGATCAGAAGTAGAGCAGCCAGGTCTTGAACCAGCGCCTAAATGGGATGCCGGCACTGCAGGCAGCGGCTTTACCCACTATGCTGCAGTGCCAGCCCCTCCATATCCTATAACTTAGCGATTTCAAGCCCATTCTAATTATATAAAGATATATGCAAAGTTAACTCTAAGAATATTCATCACAGTGTTATTTTTGATAATACAATTGGTGATAGCTAAAATGTATGAGTTTTTTTAAAAGATTTATTTATTTACTTAAAAGAGTTACACAAAGAGAGGAGGAGAGGCAGAGAAGAGGAAAGGGAGAGAGGTCTTCCATCCACTGGTTCACTCCCCAGTTGGCCGCAGCGGCCGGAGCTGCCCCAATTCGAAGCCAGGAGCGTCTTCCAGGTCTCCCATGCGGGTGCAGGGACCCAAGGACTTGGGCCATCTTCTAGTGCTTTACCAGGCCACAGCAGAGAGCTGGATCAGAAGAGGAGCAGCTGGGACTTGAACCAGTGCCCATATGGGATGCTGGCACTGCAGGCAGCGTCCTTACCTGCTATGCCACAGTGCTGGCCCCCATGAGATTGTTTTAAAAATTAAACATAGAAACTGGCACTGTGGTGCAGTAGGTAAATCCTCTGCCTGTGGCGCCAGCATCCTGTATGGGCACTGGTTCTAGTCTTGGCTGCTCCACTTCCAGTCCAGCTCTCTGCTATGGCCTGGGAAAGCAGTGAAAGATGGCCCAAGTCCTTGGGCCCCTGCACCCATGTGGGAGACCTGGAAGAAGCTCCTAGCTCTTGGGTTCAGATTGGTTCAGCTCCCACCATTGCAGCCATTTGGGGAGTAAACCAGAGGATGGGAGACCTTTCTCTCTGCCTCTCCCTCTCACTGTCTGTAACTCTACCTCTCAAATAAATTTTAAAAATCTTTAAAAAAAAATCCACAGTAAATAATTGGTAGCTTTTAAAAAAATACACATTCTACAATGAAAAATCATATCTGTTGATATGGAGAGAAGTTGTAATATGAAGAAGAAAAAATAAGATATAACAGTATAGTCTTTTTTTGTTGTTGATAAAAAATGTGTTGAAAAGTTCTATGAGAACTAAAACTCAGAGTGCCCATTTCTGATCTGAGTTAAATTTTTTCAGTGGGACCTCAACTGTTAACCAGTTCTTGGGTGGGTTTCAGTTTTTAATAGGCCAGTTGGCATTTTCTGTTTCATGGCTACTGACTGCACATGCAGCTCTTGTTCTGGAAAGTGCTTGCCATTCTTCAGTAAATTTGTATTGCCTGTTTACCCTTGTCAATATTCAGAAATGTACAAAATACTGTTTCTTCCCTTGAATAGGTCATCATCAATTTGTTGTTTTTTTCTAAGAAAAACAACCCTACTGTCAGATGATTAAATTGTTCATTGCCGTCTGTCATTGTTCCAAATGAAATTTTGTAGAATTTATCCTGATAAGAAATTATACTGAGGGAGCATGTAAATTGGCTCTGAAGTGCTTAGATAGCTTTATTGAAGAGAGGTCCATAGTCAGGACTTAACTGTGTTCTGGATTCTCTAACTGCCTTCTACCTTCCCCAGATAGTTTTCTGCCGCCCTGGTCAAGTTGCTCTTTCTGTGAGTGCCCTGTGTGCCCTGCGTTTTCCTCTTGTCTGCCGGTTCACCCTGTCCCACTGACCTGTCTTCCTTTTCCGCTTGGCCCTTGCATCCTTCCTCAGCTACCAGCTGGTGTCTCAGCTTCTCCATAAATCCCTTTCAGTCAGCCACAGCCCAAATTCATTTTCTCTTAAAAATCTTCTGTTCTCTACTATTTTATATAATTTTGCACTTAATTCTACCTTACCTTTTATCACTTGGTGATTTTCATGTTCTCAGCCTTTCTTCCTAATATGTTGTAGTCTCTTTGAGGGAGGAAACCATACATACTGCCTGCTTATTTTTCTCTTCAATTATAGCGTTGGGCATAGTTCAATAACAATTTGTTAGGGCTTTGAGGTTATGTCTTGAATATTTAAAGGTGATTTCAAGTACAGAAACAATGGCCTTTTACTGTGGTCCCCTAGTGTGTCATCAGCATAGTAGGTACTAGGTCATGTGGACCAAATTCTTTTTTTTTTTTTTTAATTTATTTGACAGATATAGTTAGACAGTGAGAGAGAGAGACAGAGAGAAAGGTCTTCTTTCCGTTGGTTAACCCTCCAAATGGCTGCTACGCCTAGCTGCGCTGATCCGAAGCCAGGAGCCAGGTGCTTCCTCCTGGTCTCCCATTCGGGTACAGGGCCCAAGGACTTGGGCCATCCTCCACTGCACTCCCGGGCCACAGCAGAGAGCTGGACTGGAGGGGGAGAAACCGGGACAGAATCCGGCACCCACATGGGATGCCGGCGCCGCAGGTGGAGGATTAAGCAAGTGAGCCATGGCGCTGGCCCCGACCAAATTCTTAATCACACATTTATTAGCATGGACACTCAATTTCTATAGCTTTCTTAGTGGTTTTCCACCACTCTGAAAGTAGAAGTTGACCTGTTTTATATAGTCACTCATGCAAGAGAGGGAATAAGCACATTTTTTTTATTTCAGACATAGCAGATTTACCAGATGCAAGACAATAGATAGGAGTCAGTACAGGTTGTTTACTTGATGGCCCTTTGTTCGTCTACCTCTTGCCTTTGTTTATAGAGAAAGAGCCATACTCAACAAATAGGTTTATAGATGCTATAGGCCAGATTAAAAAGTGGCCATTTAACTTTTTAAAATTTGTCAGTTGCAAAGAGAGTTGTTCATTACTACTGTGGAACAGATAAAATTGTACTAAGTCAGAAGGATTTGCTGTAGAGTTCCTCGGGCAGATTTGAAAATGTTTTTTGGATTTGTTATTACACAATAAGGTATCTTGTTTCACTTTCTCAAAACCATCCACCCACCAAACAAGAGAAATTATCAATATATCAATAAACTATGTAGTATAGTTTATATACTCATTGTTTTTACTTGCATTTTCAGGAGTAATTATTTAAATTTTTTCACTAGATTCTTTCATGGACATAAATGAAATGAAAATGTGTATGTGTTCTGCTTATAAGTGTGCTTTTTATTTCATCATACTGTCTTTCACAGAGGTCCTGGGCCTTGTCTGAGAACTTTTGTTTTACTGAGACTTATAATTAAAGTTTGGACTCTTACTTAAATTAAGAAACTATTTTTCTTTATAATTGTGTGTTCCACAGAAACCTGTAAAATGTTAAATTAAATTCATCTAGCACAGAAAGTATGAATTGATTTTTGAGGTGTGGAAAGGACTTTTTCTTAATATTATGAGGTCATATCAACCTTGCTGTTGGAAGAATTAAATAATTCCACCATCCCCCAATTTTTCTTAGTATTCTTTCATTGTGTATAAAAGAACGTTTTAAAATATAAATAGAAAGTGTGCTAAACTTAAAAAATAATTCATTTTTAAATGCATGCCTAAAAACTAGAAGAGTATTAAGATGCGTTTCTTTTCTATTAGGAAACATTCCGAGTTGTCTGAATTGAATGTGAAAGTGTTGGAAGCTCTGGAACTGTATAACAGATTGGTGAATGAAGCACCACTGTATTCAGTCTACTCAAAGCTCCATCCTCCAGCACATTACCCACCTACGTCAGCTGCAGTCCCAATGCAGGTGAGCATATGTTTTGAGAACATTTTTCAGATGAAAGTTTATAAAACAGGGGACGGCATTATGGCGTAGTGGTAAAGCTGCCACCTGCAGTGCTGGTATCCCATATGGGCGCCGGTTCGAGACCCGGCTGCTCCATTTTCGATCCAACTCTGTGCTCTGGCCTGGGAAAGCACTAGAAGATGGCCCAAGTCCTTGAGCCCCTGCACCCACATGGGAAACCTGTTTTCACTTTATTTGAAAGGCAGAGAGAGTTCTTTCATCTGCTGCTTTACTCCCTAAATACCAACAACCAGTGATGGGTCAGGCTGGACCCAGGAGCAAAGAACTCAATTGTGGTTTTCCATGTGGTGCCAGGGACCCAAGTTGTTGACCCATCATCTGTTGTCTCCCAAGATGCACATTAGCAAGAAGTGGGATCAGAATTGGAGGAGACAGAACTCAAATGAGTCACATCAATAGGGGACACAGCTTTCCATTCATTGTCTTAACTGCTAGACCAATGTCTGTCCCACAAATAATTTTAGTTGTCTCTTTAAAAAAATTTTTTATATGTGTATTTATTTTCACCTGCTTGAAAGGCAGAGTGACAGAGAGAGAGAGAGAGAGAGAGAGAGAGAGGCATCTTCCTTCTGCTAGTTCACTTCCCAAATCCCCACAACAGCCAGTGCTGAGCCAGGCTGAAGCCCAGACCCCAGAACTCCATCTAGGTCTCCCACATGGGTGGCAGGGGTCCCAGGCACTTGAACCATCATCTGCTGCCACCCAGGATTGGAAGCAGATAGCTGGCACTCGAACCAGCACTCTGGTCTGGGATGCAGGTATCCTAAGTAGCAACTTAGTCCTTTGATTTAGGACAGTCTTAGTGTATCCAGAGTCCTTTGTGTGAAGGGGCGGATGACAGTTATGATGCCTGCATCCTGTATCAGACTGCCTGGATTCAGTTTCTGACCCTAGCTTCCTGCTAATGCAGACCCTAGGCAGCAGCAGTGACGGCTCCGGTAGGTGGGTTCCCATTTGGGAGACCTGGATTGGGTTTTCTGGCTCACAGTTTTGGCCCCAGCCTAGGGGCCATTGTGGGCATTCGGGGAGTAAATTGGTGGATGAGAGCTCTGTCTCTCTCCCCCTCTCTCCCTTCCTCCCTCTCATTCTGTATGTGTTTGTCTCTGCTTTTCACATAAATAAAAAATTTTTAAAAATCCTCTGAATGAGGCAGTGGTGTTCTTCCTGTTGCTCACCAAGAAGAATTAATATTTCTTCAAAAGTTTTTATCAGATTTTTTTGACTTACATGATTATTAAAAGTTTACTTAATGAATATTTTTAACATGCTTTATATTCTTCTTAGTTGCAGGACTTAAACTGTTAAAAATTCATGCATAAGGAGCAGGCCAGTGAAGTACAGTTTCCATAAACCACACATAAATATCTTTTTCCATTACTTTATACCATTTTTGTGCTTGCCAGCTGACATGAATACTTAACATTTGTCAATATTGCCATTCTGAAGCCTTTTTCATGTTTTTTAGCCAGTACTGATTGGATTCAGAATGAGCTTGGATAAGCAAAATTCATGTTAATATCTGAAAACTGATATTTAAAGGAGTATGTGAAGGAGATACCAAGGAGAAAAAGTAGAATGTGGGTGCATAAGTTACATGACTTAACACTACATAATTGCTAAGTAAAAAAAGAATAGTTACTATGGTAACTGTCACATCAGACAAGATGCATTTATCAAATATGCCATGCCCTGAACTTTCTGAAAATTACATATGAGAGTAGAAAGATTTCTGGGTGCAAAAGACAGCTGGATCTTATTTGCTATTACTTTTGTTTTCGAAGAGTTGTTTGCTCCTGCTGTGAAAATGGAGCAAAGTAGAAATATCTGCACCCCATTGTATGATCGAACTACACGCTTGCTTCTTTGTGTGTCTGTGAAGGGTTATTTGTTGCTTTGCAAGAGTTTTGTATTTAGTTGTAATATATTTACAGTCTGTTTTGCCAGGCACAACCTTTCTTTTAAAAGCTAACTTTCTGTTTGCCTTTTTACATAACCTATGTATACTCTTCACCTGTAGGAGCATTTGAAATATTCAGAAGTTCCTATTCCGATTTGGGAAAAAAAAAAATAACCTCTAGTAGAAGCAATTGGGGAAGCACATGGTTAGTTGTAACTGTAAAGACCCCTCTGGACCTCTAAACCAGCTCCTGTGGCTGCAAGCTTACTCTTGTCGGTGGGTTTTTACATGTCTGCTGAGGAAGTAATGTGATTGCACTCAAGATGGTTTCTTCGGCATTTCTGGAATTCTAAATTTTCATATGAGTGATCTTTGCTTTAAATATATCTTAATTTAAAAGTGGAGCCATGATTGTTACTATATGATCTTTATTAAATATGTTCATTGTTTTCAGTGCTATGTATAGTAGGCAGATAGTAGACTCTGCCCTTAAGGAACTGAAGAACTTACCTGAGAACCAAGTAGGGCACATACAAATATGCAGAGACTTAGACAGTTTTTGCTTTTTGCTGAGGATGTAGCTTCTTTCCTACAACTCTTCTTTACTTTTCTCTTATTTGTCTTATAGGCAGGAAATAATATAGACATTGCTTTTTCTTCTTCATTGTTTTCCTCCTAAGTTCCATTCTTAGGAAGCAATTTGGTATTATCATGGCTACTTGAAGTGATGGGCTTCCCTTCAAGGGTGTATATAGTTTTCAATGGCTTTGTAGCAAGACACGTTACTAAGTAATAGGCAACCTGGATAGATTCTCACTCACTGCTTATATAAGAGTACAGAGTACAGCAGCCCCCTTCTTTTCCTTTGTCACCCCTGCAACATAAATGAGCAACCAAGCAAATCATAAGTTTCTCTAGATCTGGGGCTGGCGTTGTGGAATACTGGATACAGCTGCCAAGTGTGATGCTGGCATCCCGTATGGGCACCAGTTCCAGTCCCAGCTGCTCTACTTCTGATTCAGCTACCTGCTAAGGGCCTGGGAAAGCAGTGGAGGAAGCCCCATGTCCTTGAGCCCTTGCACCCACATGGGAGACCCAGAAGAAGCTCCTGGATCTTGGCTTTGGACTGACTCCGGCTGTTGCAGGCATTTGGGAAGTGAACTAGCAGATGCCTTTTAAATAAATAAACAAATTTTTCTTATTTTTAAGAGTTACAGAGAGAGGGAGGAACAGAGAGATCTTCCATCTGCTGGTTCACTCCCCAGATGGCCATAATGGCTGGAGCTGGGCCAGGCCGAAGCCAGGAGTCAAGAGTTTCTTCCAGGTCTCCCACCTGGGTGCAGGGGCCCAAATATTTGGGCCATCCTCCACTGCTTTCCAAGGTACATTACCAGAGAGCTGGATCAGAAGTGGAGCAGCTGGTACTGAAACCAGTGCCCATATGTAATACCAGCACCACAGGCACTGGCTTTACATGCTACGCCACAGTGATGTCCCCATAAATAAATCTTAAAAAAAAATTTTCCCTAGATTGGACGCAATGATTTGGAAGGTCTCCACTTTTAGTTCTAGACTGGATAGTTTGGTGGAATCAGATTGCTTCCCAAAGAAGTACATTTTCTTTCAGAGTTTTAAATACGTTGTTACAGACATTTGGGAGTCGACTTTTTGTTTTGGTTAATAGGCATATCCGGTTCAGCCACATGGAGGAAACTACATGGATCAGAGCATTCACCAGGTGACTGCTGCCCACAGCTACAGCCTAGGACCAGATCAGATCAGTTCCTTGCGATCTCTGCCTCCAAATGTGAATTCCTCAGTAGCAACACAAACTGCTCAAACTCCGTATTTAAGGTAAGTTCTTGGGAATTGTGTTAATTTTGTAACTAAATGTTAATTTTTCATAGACTTTCAGAATGAGTATGTAGACCTTTCTCTTTATAGTAGTCGTACTGTCTTTTACTTTTAAGATGAAGGTAGAGAAATGGTTATCCAAACTCAGGTTTACAGTCTGGGTCCCTGGGACAAAATCAAGCCAACTGTCCTTCATGGGAGCCCAAGCCATGTAATCAGCCTAGGGAAGTAACCTCAGGCATCTTTATCTGCATTAGAAAACTGATGTTACTTTGACTCGTAAAAGGGAGTATTTTTGAGCTGTGGTTTAATTTTTTTATACTAAGATTAGATTTTATGAGAATCAGTTTAAATCTTTTACTATCTTTCTGCTTAACTATACAAAATGTTCATTCAGTATAGTTATGTATAAATGATCTTTAAGGCCCCTTTCCACTCTTATTCCTTGAGTACGAATTGTAAACATTTCCTGAAAACTTAATAAACCTGTTTACATGGACATTTAATTAAATTAAAATATAAAATATTACCCTGCGTAACACTAGGAATTATGGAGAGAAAGACTAGTGTACTGTCAAAGTCAGTCTTCTGTGTTAAAAGTAGTGTATTTGGTATACATTTTTTTATTTTTTAAAAAGATTTTATTTATTTATGTGAGAGAGAGGGAGAGACAGAGAGAAAGGCTTTCCATCCTCTGGTTCACTCCCAAAATAGCTATAAAAGCAGGAGCTGTGCCAATCCCAAGCCAGGAGCCAGGAGCTTCTTGTGGGTCTCCCTTGTGGGTGCAGGGGCCCAAGGACTTGGGCCATCTTCTACTGCTTTCCCAGGCCATAAGCAGAGCGCTGAATTGCAAGAGGAACAGCCGAGGACAAGAACTAGTGCCCACATGGGATGCCAATGCCACAGGCAGAGACTTAACCTCTTGGTATACTTAAAAATTATATAGGTTTTAAGAGATTAGGTACTGGGGCCGGTGCTGTGGCACAGCGGGTTAACGCCCTGGTGTGAAGCGCCGGCATCCATATGGGCATTGGTTCGAGACCCGGCTGCTCCACTTCTAATCCAGCTCTTTGCTGTGGCCTGGGAAAGCAGTGGAGGATGGCCCAAGTCCTTGGGCCCCTGCACCCACGTGGGAGACTTGGAGGAAGCTCCTGGCTCCTGGCTTCGGATCAGCGCAGCTCTGGCCATTGCGGCCAATTGGGGAGCAAACCATCGGTTGGAAGACTTCTCTCTCTCTCTTTCTCTCTGCCTCTCCTCTCTCTGGGTAACTCTGACTTTCAAATAAATAAATAAATCTTTAAAAAAAAAAGGGGAGAGAGAGATTAAGTGCTACAGTGAGTTAAAGGAACAAATAAATAGAAGTCCTGCAGTTTGCTGTGACTTTTCAGCTGTGTGTGTGTGTGTGTGTGTGTGTGTGTGGTGGTGGTTGGTGGGGGGGGTGGTATGTGTTAGTAAATAAACCATTGTTCAGGGCTATCCCGAGAGTAGATTTGGGGAGGGTTTCTCGCAGATTACACTGTTCTCTGTTTGAGAAGGAAAATTCCTTACGAAAGGAAAACTTGAAGAGTCTGAGAGAGGAAGAGGTGGATTTCCTTTGCCAGGCTGGAAGGAGAGAGTATGGGCTGAAGTGCAACCTGAGTTGGGCCTTACGGACCAGTCAGTAACAGTTGATGTCTCCTCGAAGGATGTTTAAATATTTTTGGTGAGAGACTTTGGAGAATGTGAGTCAAATATGAGTCATTATAATCATATACTTTGTTTCTTTCCAAATATTCTTCTCTTCAAAAGGCATTTTTGTCATGATTGATCTCCTACAGTAAACTGGATAATGCAAAATAAATATGGTTTTCTTTTCAAAATTTTGTTTGTAGCACTGGACAAGACACTGCTTCCAATCCTACCTATATGAACCAGAACTCTAACCTTCAATCAGCTCCTGGCTCAGCTGCGTACACCCAGCAAGTGGGGATGTCTGTGGATATGTCATCCTACCAGAACGCTACCTCCAGCTTGCCACAGCTGGCGGCCTTTCCTGTGGCGGCCCCAGCTCATTCAGTTGCACAGCAGCAAACAAATTACCATCAGCAGCCTCTCCTTTAGAAACAAACCAAGCATTTTCACAAAGCCTTCATAAGTGTGTAACTCATAACCTTTGTGATTCTGACCTGAAAACACTGAAAGAAAACTTCCTCTCAACTTAGAAAGACCATGAGTAAATAAAGCACAAGGCTTATCTTCATTACAAGGCCATAAAAGATTTTTTTCAGTCCAGTTTGTTTGAAGTCGATCTTTTTTTAAGTCAGTCGTTTGACCAGAGGCAGGTTAAAGATTCTTCCAGTTAGTTTTGTCTTACTTTCAAATCTTCACATAAGTCTGGTTACCCAATAGGTAGCTTTGTGACACTAAACAGTATGAGAGGAGTGTAGCCATATTTTAAGAAACCACCGTTTCTCCCTAAAATGTCATTATAAGGGCATTGAAGGCCTTTAAATATTTTTTGTCTGCATATTTGTTTCACTTACTATGATTTTAAAAGATGAACATCTTTTTGTGTAATAGTTTAGCTTGCCAACATAGTTCCTTTTGGCTCCTTAAATTGCAGTTGTGTTTGTGGTACTGTCAGTTTTGTTCTCATTGCTGTGTTGAGTAATAATTAGCATATAATTGTCTACAGAAGCAAGAGCTATTTGGAAGGAACAAAAATGTTTTCTGTAAATGCAGATGCGGGATCCAGCACTTAGCCAGCCCCCAGTTATGCTGATGGTGGCTAAGGAATGCCCCTCCCCACGTTTCCGGTAGCTGGGGGAACGCATTTCCTTCTCTACAAGCATCCCTGGTATTTAGAGTTGCTACTGATGACCTCTTCAGGTGACTCTGGCTGTTCTCTAATGACGATGTGGTCCATTTGTTTTCCTTCCTGCAGTGTGGTGTGCACAGATGCTGCCTTTCCTCCGGGATTATATGTGACTTTGAGCCACGAAACGTTCCTAATAATTTGGTGTGATATATACCACGCATGATGAGTGTGATTATATTGACTTGTTATTTCTTTAAAGAAGCAAATCAAGTAACATTGCTAATCTGCCAACATTCCAAGCTATTGAAAAAATTGTCCAATCCTTTCAGAAGTAATTCTGAGCTTCTGGAGTAGTAGCAGGTGATGGATTGCTAGAAGGCGGTGGAGTGAGGCAGTTTTTTGAAGCTCACGCTTTAAATTCATTCATAGTACGAATAGATTCCACATACTGTAGGAGTTAGTGATAATGCGTAGAGATTGTTTTCTCTCATTAAAAAAAAAAAAAGATTCATTTTATTTATTTGAAAAGCAGAGAGTTTCAGAGAGAATGACAGAGCGATCTTCCATTTGCTGGTTCATTCTCCAAACGACTGCAAGAGCCAGAGCTGGGCCATGCTGAAGCCAGGAGCCAGGAATTCCATGCAGGTTTTCCAAATGGTACTTTGGGCCATCTTCCGTTGCCTTCCCAGGTACATTAGCAGGGAGCTAGATCTGAAGTGGGGTAGCCATTGCCCATAAGGAATGCCATCATTGCAGGTGGTATTGTAACTGCTGTGCCATGACACTGGCCCTGTTCTCTCTCAAAAATTTGCACATCACTTCATCATCTACCAACTTTTCATATGACACAAGTCAGGAAATGCAAACATGTTTATGGATACATGATATTTAGAGAATGGACATTAAGTTTAGTTTTGGAAAATTGCAACTTCTCTTGGAAGCAAAATTTCTATATTTTGTTTTTTTAAGAAAGTACTTAATGTTTCTACTAAGAATACATTTGAAGGCAGTTCTGGAAGCTTTGTTGTTCATGTGTTTATAGCAGTTTGATTGAAAATACACTCCTTTTTCAGAGAAACTTTACCATTGAATAGAATACTAAGTGTAATACTTGGTCCATGTTTAAAGGGAAAACCATGTGTTATTTGAAAACCTAATTTCTGTCATCGTGTTATTTTAGATACTAGTAACTGAAAGGAAGCTTCAGCCTTTAGTGTCTCATGTTGTGTTTTTCAACCAGTGTTTTCCTTTCAGGTGAATTCAGTTACACAGTTAACAAAACTTTTTAAATGGCACCTTACTTTTTTGGAAGAAAAAAATCTTCTTTTTAAACATATATATAAATATAAAACACCCAAAGCTGCTCTTGATAATAGTTAATGTTTGCCTAAATGGAAAATTGTATATCTTTTCTCCCAAGCTATATTTAATAAAGTTATTTTAATGTTTACTGTAAATATTTAATGTATAATTGTGGTCTGAATTGTGAAAGTTTAATTCATTATAAATCTTTGAGTCAGAATAATAAATACTGCATACCCACTAAATTGGGATCAGTGTCAATTAAGTTCAACTAACCTAACTTTTGGAATAATAAAACATGACATTTATATAAATAATGTATATTGGCATTTATTTGTGAGGTTTTGTATATGCAAAGATTTTTCTTCCTCTTAAAAATAATTTTGTTTTTGCCATATGTAAGGAATTTTGTGTTTCACATTGTTGATAGTATGAAAAATACTCTGTATTGATCTGATACTTTATTGATCTCGATAAGAAGTGCAAGATTATTTTTTATTCCTTGCCATGATCTTTTGGGTTGTATTTAAGACCCATTTATAATTAGTGTTTTCTGCCAAAGGAATTGTCTTAACTTTAGATTTCTATATATTGGGTTCATATTTACTGTTTTATATCAAAAATTAAAAAATAGTTTCTCTTTTTTCACTTATAATCTTGGTACATGGAAAGAATGCCTGGGTGTTAAAATATAACATATATATTTTAACAAATATATAAGAACATTTATTCTTACAGCTTGAAAAACATGCAGACAACCAACATTGTCTTAAAAATTTGGTAATTTGTTTATAAAATTACTGGAACAGTAAGTACAGTATTTATCATTTAGGATTTGAAATTATTTGCATCTTAAGATATTTGAAGTAGTTGATATTGGACCATATAACAAATTTTACATTTTGAAGATTATTATAAAGTTTCACCTTCCAAATTTAGAAAATTGACTGTAAATGTTTAAAAAAGTGACTTAGAGATTTTTAAGAGAATTTTTCTTGGTAAAACCTAGAAATTTCAAGGTTCCTGATTTCTAGGAGAGGTTTTATGATTTGTCATTGACATTGAGAAAGCCCGAAGTTATTTCTGTAGATAATAAATTATAAATAAAAAAGTACTACTTTGTCATGCTTTGTTTTTGTCAAAAGGTATTTTTCTTGTTCATTTACATCAGTTTTAATAAATAAAGGGAGGGCTCAAATTTTAGGAATTGTTTTGGTTTGATTTAGTTTTCCTTTTGAAGATTAAAAGTTTAAAAAGAAAAATTTCCCCAGCGAAATTTCTCAGACTTCTATCAAGCTAAATTTGAACTTAAGTTTTTTTTTTTTAAAACCTTACTGTGTTTAAAAGAGAAATTGTGTTGTTTATGTAGTGCTGTGGCATGTTCCTCCCGAATTAATGTGTACCTGGAATGTCAAAATATAACCATGGAGGGGCCAGCGCTGTGATGCAGCAGGTTAAAGCACCGGACTGCGGTGCCCATGTCCCATATGGGCACTGGTTCCTGTCCTGGCTGCTCCAGTTTCAATCGAAGTCTCTGCTATGGCCTGGGAAAGCAGTAGAAGATGGCCCAAGTCCTCGGGCCCCTGCACCCGTGTGGGAGACCCAGAAGAAGCTCCTGGCTCCTGGCTTCGTATCAGCACAACTCCGGCTGTTGCAGCCAACTGGGAAGTGAACCAGCAGATGGAAGACCTCTCTCTCTGCCTCTGCCTCTGCCTCTTGTAACTGCCTTTCAAATAAATAAATAAATAAATAAATAAATCTTAAAAAGAAATGTAACCATTGAAACAGTGAAATTCTAGATGGCCATGCACATGAAACCTTGGCTGCAAGCAGCTTCTGCAAGCTGGCACTGTCTCCCTCGAGAGGCCGCCTCCTGCTGGAAGTCTGTCTTGACTGCCATTCCCAAGGATGCACCTTTTCAGTATAAAGCAGCCAGAGTGGCCGTCATCCAGTCCCCCTAGCAGAAGTTAGGGTCCATTCTTCTGGGTGAGGAAAGGTGAGGAGGAGTCAGATGGGTTCCTAGTTCATAGGTTGGCCCCAGTGGAATTTAGGGTGGAAAATGCTTGCTTTCCCTGAAAGTTACCTTTAGCAAGGTCAAAAGTGCCTGCCCTGCTTCCTTAGGCTTCTCGTCTTACCATGAGAATAGTAAGGGAGTAGTGACCTTACCCTGCTGGCTCCCAGTTACTGTAAAACAAATTAGGTATCTCACCCTTCTGTTTTATCTTGTTTTTATTTTTATTTATTTATTTTTTTTTGACAGGCAGAGTGGACAGTGAGAGAGAGAGACAGAGAGAAAGGTCTTCCTTTGCCGTTGGTTCACCCTCCAATGGCCGCCGCGACCGGCGCACTGCGGCCGGCGCACCGCGCTGATCCGATGGCAGGAGCCAGGAGCCAGGTGCTTTTCCTGGTCTCCCATGGGGTGCAGGGCCCAAGCACCTGGGCCATCCTCCACTGCACTCCCTGGCCACAGCAGAGAGCTGGCCTGGAAGAGGGGCAACCGGGACAGAATCCGGCGCCCCGACCGGGACTAGAACCCGGTGTGCCGGCGCCGCTAGGCGGAGGATTAGTCTAGTGAGCCGCGGCGCCGGCCTTATTTTTTTTTTAAATGTTTTTCCAGGCAGAGTTAGAGAGAAGGTCTTCCCTCCATTGGTTCACTCCCCTAATGGCCGCTGCCAGGTGCTTCCTCCTGGTCTCCCATGTGGGTGCAGGGCCCAAGCACTTGGGCCATCCTCCACTGCCTTCCTGGGCCACAGCAGAGAGCTGGACTGGAAGAGGAGCAACCAGGGCAGAATCGGCACCCCAATTGGGACTAGAACCTGGTGTGCCGGCGCCGCAGGCGGAGGATTAGCCAAGTGACCCAAGGCACCAGCCTATATTTTACCTTGAACAAGCCAGACATGGTAAAAGATTGCAAATCAGGTCTTTTGTTGGGTTTTATCCCCACTGTCAATCTGATTGTCAAGTGTTTTTTTCCTCCAAAATTGTGCTTATAAACCCCACTACCACCGGCCCCTTTGGATTTTGCCTCTCGTGAAGTCCCCTATATTCACTCTTGCTGGAGGTCTCTGACTAATAAATATTGCTTTTAAATACTTTAAAGAAATAAATAAAAGAAATAGGGTCTTTGCAGTTGTAATTGGTAAGGCTCATGAAGTGAAATCATTCTGGAGTTAGGATGGGCCCTACGTCCAGTGACTACTGTCCTTGTAGGAAGAGAAGACACCAAGACAACTGTGAACAATACCTTGTGAAGATGGAGGCAGCAGCTTGAGTTGTGCTTGCCTAGGGCGAGCACCACCTGGGACCAGCAGAAGCTGAGGGAGGTAAAGGACTCCTGCATAGAGCCTTTAGAGGGGGCATGACCATGACCCTGCTCACACCCTGATCTCAGACTTCCAGGCTCCAGAACTGTGAGAGAATAAGTTTCTGTTTCCTTAAGCCCTCACATTTGTGGTTCTTTGTTACTACATTCCTGGGAAACCAATACACATAGGGAAGAGGGGACTGCAAACTGAGGACCAAGCACTTAGAACTTCTATATATTACTTAAGCTTGACATTGGAATTTGGAGAAAAATGCCTATAGTCTGGTAACACGATTGTTTTGTTTGTTTTTTAATGCTTGCTGAGCTGTAATAAAATTGCATGAATAGATGAAACTAAGGTTCCTGTGAATCTCATAATCCCATTTACTGATTTATTTTTGGTGGCATATCCACATTTCAATAATGGATAGAGCAGACATGTTCACAGTTAACCAGATTATAACTCTTCTGCATTTTTCTATCCACTTTTCTGTCCCTCTTGAGTAGTAAGTATTGAACACTGGGAGAAATGTTTAAGGCAAATAAGAAGAAACAAGAAAGCTAGCTGGATAATTCTCCACGAATGCTGAAGAACAGAGATTTCATTTTGTTCTTATTTTACACCATTTAAAATCCTAATGAGAATAAAAGCTTTCCAGAAACCACCACAGCACCTGGGAGTGCAGTGGAAGATGGCCCAGGTTCTTGGGTCCCTGCACCTGCATGGGAGACCAGGAGGAAGCACCTGGCTCCTGGCTTCGGATCAGCGCAGTGCGTCGGCCATAGTGGCCATTTGAGGGGGTGAACCAATGGAAGGAAGACCTTTCTCTGTCTCTCTCACTGTCTAACTCTGCCTGTCAAAAAAAGAAAAAGAAAAGAAACCACCACAGTAGTGATCTCTACTGATTACATTTTGGCCTAGGAAATCAGCTACCTTTTTTTTTTTTAATTGAGTTGAAATCCCCATAGCATAAAGTTAATTTTGTTTTTAAAAATTATGAAAGAGTTAGAAGGAGAGACAGAGAGATCTTTGACCCACTGGCTTACTCCCCAAATGGCCGCAATGCCAGAGCTGGGCCAGGCCAAACCTTGGAGCTTCATCCAGGTCTCCCATGTGGATGCAGAGGCCCAAGCATTTGGGCTGCCATCTGCTGCCTCCCCAGGCGGGTTAGCAGGGAGCTGGATCAGAAGCGCAGCAGTGGGGACTTGAATTGGCACCCAAGTGGGATGCTGGCATCACAGAGAGCAGTTTAACCTGTCACACCACAACACTGGCCTCCAAAATTAACCATATGAAAGTGAACAATAGCATTTATGACAGTCACAGTGTATGCAGTCACTACCTCTGGCTCCAGAACTAGACCATGTAGTGTTTGGCTTCTTTTACTTGGTACAATGTTTTTACAGTTCATTTGTATTGTAGCGTGTGTCAATACTTCATATCTTCTAATGACTGAGTAATATTGCATTGTATATACCACAGATTATTCATTCATTCTTCTGTTGAGGGCTACGAATGCCATTTCCATCTTTTGGTTATTATGAATGGTGCTCCTATAAAGATGTGTTCATGTGTGTGAGTACCAGTTTTCAGTTTGGAAGTGGTGGGTCATGAGGTAATTCTGTGTTTAACTTTTTAAGAAACTGCCAGACTTTCCACAGCTGATCCATCTAACATTCCCACCAGTAATCATTAGGATTCCAATTTACCCACACCCTCACGAACCCTACTTTTTTTTTTTTTAAGATTTATTTATTTATTTGCAATTCAAGAGTTACACACAGAAGGAGAGGCGGGGGGGGGGGGGCGGTCTTCCATCTGCTGGTTCACTCCCCAGTTGGCCTCAACGGCTGGAGCTGTGCTGATCCAAAGCCAGGAGCTTCTTCCAGGTCTCTTATGTGGGTGCAGGGGCCCAAGGGCTTGAGCCATCTTCCAGTGCTTTCCCAGGCCACAGCAGAGAGCTGGACTGGAAGTGGAACATCTGGGATTCAAAACCAGCGCCCATATGGGATGCCAGCACTGCAGGCAGAGGCTTTGCCCACTGTGCCACAGCGCCAGCCCCACAAATACTTTCGATTTTAAAAAAGTGATATCCATCCTGGTGAGTGTGAAGTGGTACCTCATTCTGGTTTTTATTTGCATTTCTCTATTGCCTAATACATTATATTGAACTCCTTTTCATGAGATTATTGACCGTTTATGTGTCTATTTTTGGAGAAATGTCTATTTAAGTCCTTTGCCCATTTTTTAATAGGGTTGTATTTTTGTTGTTAAGTTTTAAGAGTTCTTTATTCTGGGTGCCAGAATAAAGAACATGATTTGCATATATTTCTCCACATTCTGTAGGTTTTTTCACTTCCCTGATGATACAGTTTGATAGATTTTAAATGTTGATGAGATCCAACTTATTGTTTATTTTGTTGCATTTGCTTTCAATTTTATATTTAAGAATCCATTGCCAAATCTAAAGATTTTCTTTTTTTTTTCTTTTTGTTTTTTAAAGGCATTTTTTATTTGAAAAGAAGAGTCACAGACCAAGAGAGACATCTTTCATCTTTTAGTTCACTTCCCTGGCTGGGGCTGGGCCAGGCCAAAGCCAAGAGCCCAGAAGTCCATCCAGGTCTCCCACTATATGGGCCATCTTCCGCTTCTTTCCCAGGCACATTAACAGGTAACTGGGTCATAAGTGAAGCATCCAGGACTCAAAGAAGTGCTCACAAGGGTTGCTCGTGTTGCAGATGGTGGCGTAACCCTCTGCACCACAATGCTACCCCTATGATTTTAGTTATGATTAGGTTAGGGATGAGGG